CGGTTCCTCGTCTCCCGACGTCGCTCTGCCCATCGGTTTCTCCCGGACGCGGGCTTCGCGGGGTCGCGGGGGATGTTTATGAGCTCGAAGCTAGTGAGACGTTTAAAAGCGGCCGAGGACCTGGAGTGCGGGCTGTTTCCCACGGGTGCGAAGCGAGGAGACACCGGCGGCCTTTCCGCGGGAGATGCCGGGGGTGCAGCCGCCGCTCGGCCGGGGAGCTGGAGGGCGAGCCGGGCCCTCGGCCACCGCGCTGAGTGACTCGACGCCCCGGAAGCATCACCTCGTCCAGGGACCGGGCCGGGCCGGTCTCAGCCGCGCAGGTCTGACCCCTCGCATGTCCGTCCTCGGGTCCGACGCGCAGACTTTCCAAGGGTCTGTGAGCCGGGGCCTCGTCTCTGCGCTCGGGGTTGGCCCGGGGCTGGTCTCCATCGCCCTTTCTGTGGTCTCCTCGCCGTCCTTCCATTCCTACCTCCTCTCCATGACGATCTCATGACGCGGGGTGGAAGTGTTTTTCCAAAGGGTATGTCATTATCATCCTAAATGTAGGATTTTCAAAACACAGAGCATCGGAAACTTCCCTCATTTCCACTTTTATCCAATAAGTGAACAGATGTGGAACCCCTCCCCCCTCTAGGAAATGGTGGCGACCCGTGTCCACACAGGCATCGCTCCCCGCCTCTCAGGGTTAGGGTACTGGGCGCCTCCATCGTACAGCGTGTTTAGTCCTGAAGCTTTCAACACTCGCAGCGTCTCATGTTATTTAAGTGTTTTACTTCCAGGTGTTTTATGTGATTTCTCTTCAACTATTTTCAAATTTCTTGCAAACTCAAACGCTTCCCTCCCTTCAATTCTTTATAGCCACACGTCAGAACCCAGATTCCCAGGTGCCCCTCATAGTAACCAAGTCAGCATCCCTGAGCCCCGGAGCCGGGCCCAGGAATCTGTTGTGACAGAGCCCCACGTGGCAATCAGGCCGCCGCCCAGCTCTAAACGCAGACTTCTCTGGGAGCCACTGTGCTTCGGGGCTGTTAACATCCTGCATAATAAAACCCGGCAATGTGCAAACCGGCAGAGCGACTGGTCGCTATGGCTCTCACTGACTACCAGGGGCAGCTCAGCCCGCAGGCCCCAACTGGAGGTGGGGGGCGAGTGAGGGCCCCGATTGCCCCACCGGTCCCCCCACAGGTTGGCCCTGATTGCTGGCCAGGCCTAGGGACCCTGCCCCTGCACAGATTTCGTGCACCGTGCCTGTAGTTGTTAATAAAGTGCTTGTCAGCAGGACAATCAGGAGCTACAGTGGTGGAATGTTCAGTGGACAGGCCTGAAACACTGATGTCTGCATTTCACTATCGTGCCTTCCGGGCTGCACCTCTGATTTCCTGTCACTGCGGTTTTCAGTTCAGAACCAGACGGACCGTGCCCACGTGCTCACAGGTCTGAGGAAGTGATAATCACTAGACTCACAGAAGGCAGATACGAAAGTTATGTTGCTGGGGCTTTTATTTTATTGGTGAGATGGTTGAACTTAGTGTCCAAGACCTGGACAGACTGTGGAACTAGGAAGGCAGACACGGGCCTGATGGGGGCTGTTCCTGGCTGCCCAGTGCCTCACGGAGAGAGTCTGCTCCAGGCACCTGACGTGGAGGCTCCCAGGGCAGGGCCTGTGCTCCTGTCACGTCCTTGGACAGAGCTGTCGAACTTGCTTTTCCCAGCTCTGTCCCTGCTGTTAACCACTTGGTCGGCCTCTCCGTTGCTTGTCGTTCCCTGTCTCTACCACATCCCCTTCAAGTGCCCTCCGTTCTTCAGAAGCTAGTTTTCAGCGGCTTTCCCTGACCATTGCTGACTCCTGTGCCCTCTCCCACCCCCAGAACCCCCTCTGCCACTGGACGTCAGTGAGGTCATGTTGCTGGAGGGCAGGGACAGGGACCCTCTTCTCAAACGGCCCCAATAGCTGCAGGGGGTCCTTTGTCACCCAGTGAGAAGCACAGAACATTTTCCGATGTGGAATTGGCCATTTAAAAGCAATTTTCT